ATATATATATATACGCATATGTATATCATCTGTCTTAAACAAGCTCTGAGCTATAAGCGGACACTGTTTCAATAGCCTCTATTGTAGCTTGAGGGTGCAGCATTTAGAATTTAGAACGCTCGGGCCAGGTACTTCACTAGTCACTAGTCTTGCTTTGATCGCGGAAGGATCCAGTTGAAGCCTCAGACAACCAAGGGTAGCACTGTTCTGGGCGGGCATGGAATCCCTCTACTTGTGCTGAAGGTCATGAAACAACAAAGTAGCTGCTACTAGGAGCCCAGTGACGGGAGCGTTCACACCTATCCATGTATGCAATCTGCCCCAGTGCAACTGGCATCAACGAGTTTTCACCCGAGCCTTCTCTCCGGAAGGCTTGCTGCATAGGCTTCTGGACTCACGCTGGACATTGAACCTTTACGACGTGCTCATCTTTAAGCCTTGAAAAGTGACGCGGTTTGGGGATGTACGGTTGGCTCCCACTGAAGCATTCGTATTTTGCTGTCCAAGTTGAGACAAACAGCGACGTTCCCTCCAATCACCTGCATCTTTGGGTACTTCTGCTTGGTCCACCTGGATTCATCGCAGCCGTCGGCTTGTTTAGGGATAGGGCGATCAGGGCTTTAGGGTTTAAGGGCCCGCAGACCACTTGTGGTAGGGAATACGAGATTCCAATAAGTAGTACAAGAGTCCAGGGGGCGGATAGCTGTGTACTGCAAGTATCCCGGAAGCGCGTGCATTGTCTGGGCATGAGCTGTGTCGAAGGCATCCTCCGTAACGTAAATAAGTATAAACATATTCGGCTTTCCGCCTAAACCCTAAACCCTGAACCCTCCGAGAATTCGACTGCAAGCGTATCGCACTCAAGTCTATCAAAACTCGCACCTCAACCCCGGCCCTACACTCAGGACCAGTGGATGCCATTGAACACCCCTGCGGTAATAATGTCAACAGTCACAATAGTAAAACTAATAATAATGACAATAACAATAAGAAGAAGAATACCTCTTAAGAACAACAGTACTAATAGCACCCTAGACCCTAAACCCTAA